AAACAATAATGATATTTGCAAAAGAGAGTCAAATTTAGGGATTTCAAAAGCCATTAAGATATAGATTGAATGCTAAATTTAAACTGTTGTGTTCTGATTTTTTTTTTTTGTATTGTTCTGTAAATTTTTGATCCTGATCATTTTTAATAATTATTGATGGATTTTGAATTCTTATAATTCTTGTAAATCCAAGAAGACTTAGATGTGGTAATGAAGAGATCGTTGCTAGATTACTCAATATATACTTATTATATAATATTTTAGCATGTATTTGTGATGCATATGTATTTTTTGTTTCTTTATTTTCTCCATAATTTTAGCTATAACTTTATGTGATTGGGTTTCTTAGTCACGGTGATATATTGTAATGTAAAGATAATTTATTTATAGGTCTTCATGAATAGTTAACCTTTGGCACTTCCCTTTATGCTTTATTTATTGAGTTACAAAATTTTGCATCGCAAAAATTATTTCCAAGACTCAGTTGATCTGATTTTAAATCCATTAGTAGTTAACTAAAAAAAAAAAATAAATAGAATCGGCAAACGATACTGCAAAAACTTTTATCATCACTGTTTAATGATGTATCAGTATACAATTCTTTGCCTTTTGCCATCGTATTTGAAAATTTTTATGAGTGCGATGGTTTTTTTACAGGTACGTCGCCGTTTAGCACTTCAAGTAGACCATTACACAGCAGAACCACCGGCTTTACATGTTCACAAGGGGCCAGCGAAGTCAAATCTAGGATTTCGCTTGCAGACAGCCACGAATTTGCAAGTAATTTTCACAATTTCAAGAAGAAATATATGGTTTTGGGTAAATGAAAAGATGTTTATTCTTCTCAGATTTTCTGAAAAATGTGTTTTAGATGATGTCGTGTATTATTCTAATCATTTATTCCGTAGCAGATCCTTTCAGATTCTTCATAACTGACTTGCGAAGATCTACTTCGATCTTATTTTTTCATATTTTCGTGTATCTGTTAGGTTTGCTATATTAACGGTCTGAAAGAAGACGAGGAAGAAAGTTCGGATGATGATTTTTCTTTGCCAAAATCGAAATCTGCACCAAATTTGCAAAACTCGGTAATCGATGGCTCCAATTTGAATGCTTCTCAGTTACGTCAGGCTATATCAGCTATAAGTAAGAATATATTATTGTTTCCAAATTATTAAATCGATTTACATCGTAACTTTTTATCAGAGAAACTTCTTTTTCATTTTTAAGATATCTTGCATGAAGTCTCAATATATGAAGTTATGTACTTGAAGCTTCACATTTTTTTCAATCAAAATAAGTTGGATTTCCTCCTTATGTACTCCATTATTATTTTTATGAAATCTTTGACACTTATAAATGAGCTTTTCTTATTAGCTTATTAATAACATCGTACATTTGGTTTGTTCTCCTATAAATGCTTTAGTTCATTGTCGTTTCCTTCCTGTAGACTTCTGTTTGGTTGGTTTGTCATTTTTGAAGTCTTATGTAGTGTTTCAAGTTTTCATTGATCGTTTGCTGCACTTCAAATTTAAAACATTAAACTCTTTGTGAGAGTGACTAGTGGCCAGGTGGGTCGGCAGCAAGAATCAGAGTGGCAATTTAGGTTCGTCTCTAGCATTCAGTGTCGTGTTACATAGTTGCCAAGAAGTCAAATTCCTATGAGCATGTATAAATTCAGCTTACAGGGCTAAATTCTTGGTAGAAAATTACTGTCTTCGTCGATCCTTCGATGACTGTTATCCTAGGCATCGAAAATTTGCCACAAAGACACAGAGCTTATTTTCTTGTGTGATTTTTTTTTCCTTTTTTTGATGAGGTATTCATGGAGAAAAACTTATCTCATTATTTGGGGATATAAGAAAAAGATTAAATATTGGTTTTTCAAGCTGTGACGTTCCTTTGCCTTTAAGACCACATTATTTCAGATATAAGATAGAAAAATAAGACGGGAGATAGAGTGTGTTTTACAACCCTTTCACTCTTATCTTCAGCATGTGTATTCCTGTGCGGCGTGATAAGTACAATTGCACTTTTTTTGTTGATTATGCAGAAGAAAAACGACAAGTCTTGGAAGAGGAGACGAAAATGATGCTCACGAAAGCAAAACAGGCTGCGAGAATGCAGATGGAAATCGAGAAGATTAACACAAATCGATTTACCACAGCTATACCGCCGAAGGCTTCCAGGTTATTATATAAATTTGTTTTGTCTTCTAGAAATGAAATTTTTTAATTTTCTGCGAGTCATATGATTTTAAAATACACTTCAAGAACGTCTCTTATTTTTAAAACTCATTTTGTAAAACCTTAATTTTGTAAAATCTACTTGAAAGCATGTGAATCCAGCTTTCAGGTTGCAGTTATCGAAAATGACACGTCGACAGCTTGTCGAACTAAGTGAAAAGATTAGCAAGCGTATTAATGGTATTTTTTTTTTAATTTGCTGCCATGAAAAGGAGTGCAAGTGACAAAAGTGGTGCAAATTTTTGGATTGGCCTGATGAGATGTGAAGATGCCCATTAGGAAGGATGATTACCATTTTTTATAGTTAAGGGAAATAGTAGACCATGAAAAGAAAGGGTTGCTTAGAGGACTTGTGGATGTTTTTTAAGACTTTGCTTAACAGAGTTAATGAATGAAATATCTTCGAAAAATTGTTCTTGACGGTAAAAGTTCATGACTTGAACGATTAGCTCAAATGTATTTATTTTCACAGTCTCAGTAAAATAACACTATTAATTTATTTGAAGCAATTGTATTTCATAATTATTTGTTGTGTATGCTTTGTTTACAGAAGAGAATGCGGAATTAATGAGGCTACTAGTTGAAAAAGATTCGCTGTATATGCAGCAGGACTCGATGCTTGTCGATATCGAAGATATGATACAGTAAGTTGTCTTCAAACAATTTTGCAGTTCTTCATAGTATTTTGTATTTCGACTATTTTAAAGTCCCTTTTTGCGGTGGCGTTATAAGTTGTCTTTTAAATGTGAAAAAGAATTTATTTTTTGAACAACGATATAGTATGCTTGCATAGGAATTTAATATCTATTAGAGATTATTGTGATCATTCTTCCATCAAGTGATAGTATTATCTTCCAATTAATATGAATCATCTCTAAACATAAATTAGTAAATTACCTTCAGCACACTACCAATCTGTGCGCTGTGAACTTTAAGTAGTTTCAACTCTTTTCTGTAGAAATTGCGTGAAATGAGTTCTTTTGCAGCAAAATTTTTCTGGATATAAAGTTTTATTCTTTTAACGACTTTAATCCACCAAAAAAAAAGGAACCTTACTTTTTCCTATCCACAACAGCTGCACTATTTTCATTTGCTTACTTTCTTGTTATATAGCATAGCTCGATATTTCTAAAATTATAAACATTTATTGTTTATAAGGTGCTTATTTATAATCTGTTTTGGCTTGAAGCTATATTAGGATGACAATTTCTTAGTATATTACAAATTCATTTTGTTCCTTTTTTTCTATCTGAGGATTATTCATGCCTTAACATTATTTTGTTGACACTTTTTTGTTTTCTCATTTTTTCAAAGTTTTTTCAGATCACTTCGACCTCCTCTTCACGGTTTCAGAAGTTTTAGAAGAGTTATGTTTCAGGCATGAGAGCAATTCGGAATCGCTGAATTTGCCCGATTTCTTGAAGGTACAAGCAACTGCACCTGTTGCTATGTCTAAATTTCGCATTTTCAATAGCTGATTTAGCTTCTTTTTTTATTTATCTCTAGTTACCACGCACTATGGTCTTCAAGCTATGCTATGTAATCGTTATACCTCACTCAGTGTGAGCTGAGATCAAAAATTGTTGTATGTAGGACATTGAGACAGCTGATCAAGTGAAAAACATTGTGGTTTTAAGTACTGTTTTGTAAGCTTGTTATCATTCTCCCTAATGATCTAATTAATTCATTATGATGGCCGTTGATGCTATTAGCAGTTGACTGTTTAGTGCGTTAATCAGTTCAGGCAATCAATTTTCGCTTTTCTTTATAGTTTTCTTCCTTATTTCCAGTTTTACATCTTTGATGTATAGTTGAAATACCATTATCCTTCCTTTATTTAAGTAAAAAGTATAAAAGTACAGAAAGACGATGAAATGGTGAAGGTACAAACTGATTAATATTAGCGAATTAAGTTTGGTAATAATGTCTAATTTCTATGTAACCTTTAACGTTATCACATTTCTGAATCCAGAATGTTTGTGGAAAGGAAGAATTTCCATTTACGATGTTGCTATACTAACACAGAAATCTGTCCTAATTGCTTTCAGAATTTTGATCAAAAAATAAGTTTGGTTGCTGCTAGCTACAAAGTTTTCGTGGTCCAATGAATTTTCCCTGCGTTATTTTCTTCAGTTAAACCTGGAAAATGAAGCTGCAAATTTGGTTGCAAGTCGAAGAATACTGTTCTCATTTTTTGCATTCGGTGCTATTTTATTTAACTGAATTAGTCTTCAATCATCACTGATCGAAATTACTTAGTTATTGTTGTATTATGTTCAACTTATCTTCCTTTATGAGTGTACCACTTTTTGGTTATTGATAGTTTTGTTGCATACTTTTCCATTTTTGATTAGAATGGTTTCTACATTCCGCCTTTTCGTATCTTCTGACTTTCCTGACTTCACATCTTCGAAGTCTTTATTAAATGAAATGATAGGATGAAATAAACATGAGAATTTTTTTACGGTAAGACTGGAATTCTGATGATAAAGTTAAGATCGACATTGCTGATGTTCGATTGTCAAATATTTTTAAGGTATTTTTTCTTGCTATGCAAAATAGTTAGTTTTCGCTAATGGCAGTAAATTTTGATAAGGAACATTGCTCAGTGACTTAACCGTTTAACACTGATCATAATGTGATTATTCAGTGGCTTTAGAGACTTTATTCAGTTTGCGAAGTTTGAAAATTTGTCACAGAGTTGTACATGATTAGCTTAAGAACTTTGTAAGTACCAGAAAATTTTGAACTAGATTATCGATCGGCGGTTGAATTTCCAGTGCCAGTAGGATCACCAAGATTTGGATACACTTGCGGACAAGTACCACATATACGTAGAATGCGAGTTTCGCTGTTGCAAGTAAATGAACAACTGGATGGAGTCTGTAATCAGTGATCTTAGTCTTAATACAATTATGAAATTAGATGTTTTTAAACCGCTAGCTTAAAAATTCGTGAAGAAGCAATAACACCACGTGTTCGACTCATTTTAGATAGGAACAAAACCGATGACCGATGTGTTATGTAATTATATATATACCTCACAAATAATAACGCTTAAGTGGTGTATTGCACTGTCGTTGTTTTTTTTTTTTTCCTTCACTAAGTATGGCAATGGTTCAGTTTGCATTGTATCGCATTTCAAGAACTTGATCAGGAGAAATGTCTCGTACACTGTACGATCGCGACTGTCTTTGCTGATTCCAGAATATAGAGAAATATTGGCCAGCAGAGGGATGTGTATCCTACCAATTTTTTAGAAGCTTACCTCACAAGTAGTCATGTTGTTCTTAAATGGCACATTACACTGCCACGGTTCAAAGCTATGAATATGTAATAAACGTGTTGGTTGTTTAATCCACTTCAATGCCTGCGTAGCTGTTACAAAATATACATCTGAGTTTTTTGATATCTGGAAAGAATATTTCATATGAAAGACTGACAGTTGAAAGCTGATGTAGTTATAACATTGAGGTGAAGGAAGTTATTGGTTAATGTTCTCATAGGAGATATGTGGAAAATGTTAATAGGTAACGCAATTGGATTAGGATAGAAAGATTAAAACTAATGAAATGTTCCTCCCTGGGACTGCCTTGGATTCTTGGTACTTCATACAGAATTCTATCGACAACATCCCTAATCTTTGTTTTACTCCGCTAGTTAGTGACACGAAATATCAAATGTTTTCACAAATTTCATCAGAAGTAATGGAATTTGAAGAAATTGAAAGAACAAAAACAAAAGCATATGCAGTTACTTTCTCGATAAATAATTTGAGGGCAATGATGGCTCCTTCATTTGGTAATGCATTGAGGAAATTAATGTCAGCAGTTAACAGATACGGAGCTCTGTTGTAATTGTATGAACGATTGAAATTCATTTCCAGCATCTCCGCAACATCCCAAGGAGAATCGTCACGCTTCAAATATAAATATTTTAAACTTAAAAGGATTACAAATGCATTTCTAACAGCTATTTAAGCTTTTTCTTTAACCTCAATTACCTAAGAGGTATTTAATTAATAAGAGATGAGGGGAAACTTTTGTTTTTTAGTTTTAGTGATTGGTCCTTCGTATTCACTCAGATCACTCGTATTGAATTCCGTCTCATTTTTGCAAACAAATTGACAATTCAAACCACCAAGCAAATTTTAATCAAATGCTATTTTTTGTTAAAGAAAACGAACAAGAAAGCTTTCGCTGTACTGTTCCCTATCTAAATGAAATTATAGCTGGATTAAGTGAAAAATGAATAATGAAATGAGGAACCTACACGGACAGCTTCTTTCAACATTGTGAATTCTTTTTGTAAGCCCAATACAGTGAAGCGATTTATCGGTATTTCCCAAACATTTGGGTGGGCATTTTTCGGACAGAAACTTGATGAACACTTCCAAGCTGTACTATATGCCAATGTTTGTGGCCAATATGGTCCACCGCTTACACTCATTGTATTATCATAAAGAAAGCCATACTTTTCCATCATATCAAATTGATTGTCGCCTAAAAATTTCTACCTCACAGTTTTTAAGTGATCATTGGTCGGCAGGAGCTACTTCTGTTGTATTTAAGAGTTAACGGAAATAATATGTTCATTAGAGGACGATTCCCTTCTCCTTTCTTCATGCAATCTATAAGTATAACTGATATATAATTATAATTAACACTTTCACTACTTACCTCCTAGCTCGAGTTGCGGCGCTCGTACACCAGTAATGTCTGCTGCGTTTGCATAGCTAAAATGTCGTAGTGCATCACGCATGCCAACCATTTCTTTCTCCCAACGTTCCACAGTCTCATCACTCAAATTTCGATGTCTGAATAGAAAGTTAAATGTTTCATATAGTTTTCTCGAGATTTTTTTTCGAGAGAGAGAGAGAATATAGATGAATGCATTTGATAGACTTTCCTATTAGAAGTTATGAATGTTTATTTCTGGCAATTAGTTAACAAAAACTAAAGATAACTTTTTTCCTTCAAGCAAGTAGTTACTTTTCACTGCCTCCATAACATTCTACTACGTTTACATTTTTTGTTTCAAACATCAAATTGTTGACTGGCCAAAACCCACGTAATGGAATTCACAGCGACTTCGTGGCCATTACTTATTAACCATTGGGTTTGATCATAGTTATTCCATTCACTGGACACAAAAAAAGTACCTTTTATGGGACAACCGTTTGGATTCCTGAACAACATTCTACTACATTGCAATAACTACAGAAAAAAGGAATACAAAGCACAAAATTGCTGATGAAGTTTCACTTCCACTTAAATTACTGGTGATTTCAACGAAAAATTTAGATACCGATACTTCCCACTGAACAGTGATTTGTATACGACAAATGCTCGATCGGTTATCGGACCATCGAATGTTAATATAATTATTTGTGGCACATCTCTTGCCAATAATCCATTGGGAATCTCCAATCCGGATCTCAAAGCGGAATGCTTTATGAATTCAAATCTCTTTCTTTTCAAACCTTCGTCATGTTACCCTAGACTCTCGCTCTTTACTTTATGCTCGCCTTTTTTTCCGTTACTTCAGGAAAATTTTATGTCTACAACTTATTTCGTGTCGATCAAAATTCATTTTTCGGTTGAGTTCTGCACCAAACCATTTCAACGGATTAATAATCGCACTTCCTAGCGCTTATTGGAAACTCATCGTATCACTGGAAATGTTGAGTTCAGTTTACTACTTCTTGATTAGCAAATACGCCATGTGTTTACCTTGAGCAGAAGCAATTAGGTAGGAGACATGAAGGAGTCACTGGACAGTCTTTGAGCGGTTGCCAATTGCGTTTGCCTTGAGCGACCACTGTTTTTCGTAAATATCCTGACTGACCTATCAATGAACGAGCAAAATGATAATGGTAGCAATCACAAATTTTATCAGTTTTTGTTGCCTTACTTATAGGACATGTACATTTTCTTTGCACAGAAGTGACCCATACCCAGCACTCAGCACCCAAGAACACAACAACACGTAGCATAAGCGGTGCAGATGGACAACTGAAGAGTGACATCAGATGAACAAAAGGTTGATGAAGTATTGAGATGATGCACACAACGCTGCTGTCATTTCTTCACAATTCTTCATAAGACACAGCATTTCCATTCCGTCAAAAAATAATGATGACGACATGCATGCTAGCTGATCTTATGATTACATTCAAAAATGATTAATTAATCGTGCAAATCGTTCAGCATGAATATGCATTGTAGTTTATGAATTAAATATACAAATATATATTTCTAGAACACTGCTGCAAAACATTTTAGAATTAACATTGTACCAGGAGCCAACAGATAATAAAAAAGTATGAACATTCTACTTGCATACAATATGAAAATACTCTTAAACATGACTGTGAGGTCTGGAGTAAATCTCACACAAGTACTTTTCAAAATCGAACAATTCCTAACAAAATGAATCGATCCTGAGAGAAAGAACTGTTAAGTTGTTCTTTGTCCTCGTTTAAATGCATTACTTATTCGCAAATTGATTTCATAGTTTCTAAAATGCTCTTATTCGCAAATAAAAGTAGAAAACAAAGCTGAAATCAGGTAAATTCCAAAAGATTCTAATTTGAAAAAATGAATCACTAATGCAGACATTCTCTCCTAAAAGTTTGTTTAGAACAGCAATTTTAATATTTTTAATACTGTCTTCGCATCTTACCCATTATAATCGATGCAGAAGCTTTATCTGATCTAACTAATAATTTCCCCTAATCACTTAAGGCAAACAAAAATTTCAATTTCTCACTGCAAAGCTATTTCAGAAAGAAAATACCATCAAATTTGGTTTTTGACTAGATGACAGTGCGACTGGAATACCGGAGTGAGTACATTGATCCTTGAGACCCAGAAAATGGGCAACCGCCCGTATATTGTACATATGATTAACATAAGGAAAATAACTCTGAGCCCGATTTCACCAAAATAATCTAAATTTATAGTTTTAATTTTTTTTTTTCAAAAATTATTTTTGATAGGCACAAAGATGTAAAATAGAAAATAGATATGAACGATGATTTAGGAGAGTTGGAAAAAAAACGAGAGATAAACATGGATTTTCTATTTGCTGGAGAATTTCAAGTCTCAACATATTTTGATTTAAGTAAAAAGTAAAAAACAGAAAACTTACCAGGACACAAATGCGGTTGATACATTGACCTATTGCCTACGGTACACTGGCAAATACCTTGGATACATAAAAAGCACCGTCACATACAAACATGTAGAATCTGTTGGTGTTGTTGTTGGAAGAGAAGCCTGTCAGCATAGAAGGAACGAATGATACATAAGGAAACATCCTGATTAGTCACACAGAAACAGTAGAGTATTATTGAATGTTTTACAATAATTAAATGCAGAGATAAAAGATATCGCCGCAGTGATAAGTAATAATAAACACTGAAACACATTACAACAGTATGATGACCGTTAACTAAGTAAAGTTCTCGTATTGATATTTATATTTTATCACGAGTGAACACTTGTATTATATACAGAAGTGTTCGGTCGTCACGCCATCAAAAACTATCAGCAAATATTAAAAATAAATTTGAAAAATTGACATTTTAATTTATGACATACAAGAAAATTAATATGAAAGCATTTGTTCGATACAGTACAAAATAAAAATAATATAATTCGGTACAATTCTTTACACTGCTTGAATGACTTTCGATTAAATGAACTGATTCAAAATACCTTCTGAATATCATCATTGAAAACGTAATGACAAAACAGTGATCTGCAGACCGGACAATTCTTTACTGAAGCAGCATAATTCACGAGCAGAACAAGTAAATCATCATAGTTACAACAGTCACGGAGACATCCTTGTCTTATGTTTTGGTTCAATCTTAACGTTGCCTTTCGCCATAATTTTCAATGGTTTTGAAAAAATGATCATAAATCTGAAGGCTAACTTGTAAGGAATGTATCAGCATGAATAAGTGAAATAGGTTGATGTCGGCAAATCAATACACCAGACGTTGAATACATTCCACTTGGACACTTGCAAACGCCTAGAACGCAAATAGAGCCACCAGTGCAGAACATATTTCCGTCGCATGCATGATTTGGAAGTACCAGACGATATTGCATCGTACATTGACCATTTACCGCTACCTGAAGATTATTCCTATTTGCAAGGCTTTTGCGCTTTAAAAGATGGTGACAAGGGCTATTCAAAGGTATAACAATGGATTAAGACATGATAAAACAATGGGAACACCATTTATTAAAGAATATTAGATATATTTTGCAAAAGCGGAATTAACGTTAATTTATTTTTTGCGTTCTTGAAAGAAGACAGATGCGCTGCATTTGGAAAACCATTCCCTAACTATAAAGATGGGTAAAACAGTTGGCAAAGAAAGCAACACTAAAAAATTTTGGTATATGTCAGCGAATAAAGCATGAGTCTTTAGGAAATACGACTGCATTCTAAAGGATTACAAAAACTATCTCTTGTGCAAAAATTTACACGGAAAATTTATTGAACGAACCTGATCAGAAATGCATTTACAGTAATTATCAATACACATTGAATTACCCGTACATTTGGTATAGCCTGTTTCACAGATTTCTCCTGGTGCTCCTGAAACTCAATTACAAGATATATTTTAATCCAACTATACTGTGAGTAAGGTACTGTGAGTACTGTGAGTAAGGTACTGTGAGTCTATTAGCACTGATGATTAGCTATATGGGACATCTAGTTGCGTTCCTGTCGAGAAATTTCCAAAAGTAATTTTATACCATCATTTCTTATTCGGATTATTAAATGCCTTCCTTTTCATATCTCCTGTTACTTTTGTTTATAGTACTAATCTTTTTGAAAAACTTTGTTTTCCAAAAATAGAAATGCACTGCTTTCTGCTTCAGTCAATTTCTCAAGAATTCTGTTGACGTTCATTGCTAAAAAAGAGAAGTAATTAAGATATTGACCTTGTGAATTGATGGGAATGCAAATACCACTGACAACTCGTTCTCCGCTTGGACAAGTGCAAAAGCCATTTGCACATATTGAGTTACCCGAGCATTGTATTCTTATATCATTTTCATTGCAAGGTCCACCAACATTCACTAGAACTTGCTGAGTGAATTTACTAAAAATTTCGATCAGTGAATAGTCTAACAAAGAGACTAATCGATAATATTCGTCACCATAAAGTGCATTTTCCTATGTCTCTATGGTCAAGAAGAACATAATCTTTACTATATTTTAGTTGATGAATGGAAAGCAAGTGTGACCAGTGGGACATATGCATAAGCTTTTAAGTAATATGTACCATTACGGCATGTAGTTGGATCAAGTGTGCAACCACTATTTTATTCTGAAAATAAAAATCTATTAGGTTACGATTTGTAAAAGTGAGTAGTCATCATATAGAATGTACAATCACTCTGTAGAATGTTAACATAGTAAAAGTTCTGAAAGCTTTGAAATTCATATTATGTGAGGTAGTCAGATAAGCTTCTGAAGTTATTAAGTTTAGGTGGCAGCAAAGTTCATCTGAATGACACCAAAAATTTAGTTTCCCATAGCGGCAGCTCACCTATTAGACAGTGTAACGGAAAAGCAAAACGGAAAGCTTCCTTCAAACTGTACTCGTGGATGTGTTTGACAAAGAACAGTAGAGTAGGAAGTGAATAAAAGTATACATTTAATTGTTCTTTAAATCACTGATGTGCAAATAGCGAAACATAAAAGATAGCATTAAAATAACATCCAACGTTAATGTCGAAGTTAACATGAAGGAATGAAAAAATCATTTAAAATTAAAAAACTAGTTATGTTCATCGCTTGGAGTATATTATATATTATTGGTTTTGTTTTTAAGTCTTTACAAAATTCTCTTTCCCAGTTATTCGCAAAATACCTTCTTGGTCATATGCGTACATAAAAGCAGTGGTATCGAGCCTAAAAAATACCCAAGTTTATTAAATATAAGCTACTAAACTGATTTTTTAACTGGTGTACAAAAAGTTTCTTATTGATAAATTGAATTATCTTGCAAAAATTTGTTGAAAAACGCGAGTTAAACAAAAATGTCTCTTTACGGACTTAAAATTCTTAAGGAATGGTGTATGAAAGGTCATTCTTTTAGCTTCACTATCTGAATTTTCAAAAGAAAAATAGTTCATTCAGATGGATCTTTTAAAATAGTTCATTCAATTCGATGACTGAGATTTCACTTCCCTGTTCCAAAGATGTTATAAAAGTGAAAGTTTGACAAACGATATTTTACCACCATACATTTCTACACAATGCCATGGTGAATCAAAATATAATAATACATGAACAGAAATGATAGGATTGCCATATTCAAATGAGAATTTGATAATAGTTTATGCAAAGAACCACTGTACAAACCCTGGTTATTTCCATTGCTCCGCTGTCCTTGACACAAAAACTAGCAAAACCATACGGACACTTCTTTCGAATGCAAATACCTGTAACCAACCATTGATTGAGCTGTCGCAACCATCAAGTGGAATTCTTCTGCGTTAATATTGCTTTGATGAGAGTTTTTTGCTTTTTTCATGAGTCTACTTAATTTGATTCAAATTTCAATTTATTGAATAATTTCTATCTCACACATCTCTTTTTTGACTCATTTAGAATGACAAAAAGGCTTATAAAAGATAAAGCAACCAAAACTTGAAGGTTTGATTCGAAGAAAGCCATAATTAATGTTAACTTCAAAAATAAAAAAAGTATCTTTTCTTCTCACAGTAGATTAAGACTGGGAATTGTTGTTGAAGCGAACAACCATAGAACATAAATTATGAAGCAAAAACTAATCTAACTTACTTTATTTTGTTCTTCTTCTGCAAGCCTTTCGGTGATTACTCGTACTAACGTGAAAATTTCACGTGGAAACAAATGAATTTTGTGTTGTATTTTCTGGTTAAAATCATTTCTCAATTGTTTGTCAACGATGAACTTCAAAAAGTAAGAAGCACGACGGTTAATACTACGTTAAGCCGAAGCAGAAATCAAACATTAGCAGCGTTGATAAATATTAAAGTGCCAAAAGGTCACACAGTGCAGCACATCATGCAATAATGTCCGGAAGGTACAGTGCCCTGTGAGCGTTTAAGTTTTAATTTCTTAGATTTTTCACAGGGATTATCTTTGCAATGAATCCAAAACTTTGTTTTGCCGATGAAGAAAACTGCAATAATCTAAGAATTGCTTTTTACAGAAGTTATAAAATACTTAAAGCTTAAATTTATCTACTTCAGGATTTTGGAAATACATTACTGATTCAACCTATTAATGACAAAATGTTCTCACCACGAACTTTAACACATTCATTATCAACGATGTTATTCTTCTCAGGTGGACAGGTACACAACCCTCGGATACACTTCGAAAATCCACTGCACGTCTCTCCATCAGAACATGGCATTCCAGGATGTGATTCTTAAAGATTTTAAAATCAAATTTCAAATATTAGTGCTCTCATTCTCTTCATTTTCCAGACCTTTTTCTATGTGAACAAATTGACACTGACCTTAACCACATTAAATTATCTGCAGCACAAAAAAATCTGTTTGTGAGATTGAAAATGGAACAGAGTGCCGAAATTTTTCATAAAAGAGACTGTGAAAGAAAACAGACCGATATTCACTGGTATACAGAAGCCATATCGAGACATAGCAGTACCTGAGACACAAGAGCATAAACCGTGGATACATTGGGCCCGAGAAGGACACTGCCGGGATGTTTTACATCGAACTGTAACAGTAAACTACTAATAATAAGAATTATTCATCTAGCTAAAGCTAAACTTCTGAAATAATGAAAATGGCTATAATGATGAGAAAATTTTTGATAATTCAGCTAAAAATCAAATTTCTCTGGGGAAAATTTTGAAGAAAAAAGCTTCTATTTCTAGCTAAATTTGCAAAAATTCTTAACTGAAAACAAAAAAAAAAAAAATGTTTTGAGTATTTTTGGATGAGTTTCGGCTTTTAATTAATTAGAAATACCATGAACACGTGGAACACACATATTGTCAATCATTACATCATCAGACTCGCACACACATTGATTTTCAATACATACTGAACCATTTGCGCAGTAAGCTTTTTCATCATCACAATAAGCGCCCAAACGCGATGCTTCTGTGCAAATTAATATTTAGTGTAGGGCGAAGCTATCGGCAAAAATTAGTACACTATTCTCGTTCGAGTGTCACCATGGGTAAGTTGACTAATTTCATTGTCCTAATAAAAGATAAAACAGAAACGAACTGCTCATCGATGTTACAAGTTTAGGCTGTATCTGTGGCTGCGTCGTTGGCCACACTTCCTTCATACTCCGAATCCGATTCGCTGGCATTGTAATAACTTTTACAGTTGAATTAGACTGACTTGCAGCTGTTAAAGATAACGAATGGGTTGTTTGCGACTTAAACGGAACTGTAGAACCTTTCGAATACGCTAATAGCGAATATCCATTATGCAATAATTTCTCGAATTGTCGCAGGCGACTTACTTAAATTGTTGGAATTGCAACCTAACAAACGAAGAAAAAGCAAACAAAAAAAGAAATATTCATAATGATAAGAAAAACAATTCATCCCGAAATACATCATTCGCCTATCCTGCAATGAACCTAACAATGCCTCCCACAACTCTGTGCTCTAAAATTCTGTAAAAAAATCACAAATCTGAATTTCTAAAATAACTGAATAAGTATCGGGATGACATTGTGTGATATCACGAAATATTTAACAGGAATCGTTGAAGTTGAGCTTAATCTGAATACTCTTTAGAAGGAATGATACACTTATTCACAAAAAATAAACAATCAGTATGATGCGAAAAAAAAAAAAAAACGAAACAACTTACCATCAACCATAAATTTGCATTCTGTGTCGGAGATACGAGTACCCAAAGGACATTTACAAATACCGCTACGACAAACGGAGAAAAACAGACAGAGTGTTGTTTCGTTGCAAACGCCACCTGATATGTTTACGATTACTTCAGTTTGCCGACTCGATGGTATACGTTCATTGCCAACGTCAGTTAGTGATAAAGCTGTGAACGTTGTAGAACCAAGGCTTGTTTCATCTGGTTTAATTTCTTTCTCTGAACTTATCACTTCATCTGTTACCATTTCATCAGTTTTACTGTTCTCGACAATACTGTTGCTCATAGGAGTAATTGCTGTCGTTACTGCTGGTGTTACTGTTTGTCGGTAAGTTTTAAGGAAGGGTGTTGCTTTTGGTATACATTTTGTACCTCCAAACAAATCATATCCAGAAAGGCAGACGCATACTCCCTTCTGACATACTGTATTATGCATTACACAATCGTAGTTTGCTGAACATCGTCTACCCGCTGAGAAAATCAATCATCAAAAAAGTTAAGGATACTTTTTTCTAGATTTATCAAAGAAGTGTTAAAAAAGCAAGAAACAAGATCATGAAAATGTGCACTGACCACAGCAAAAAAGAGTTCTTTTTGGAAGTTAAGAATCTAAAATTGAAAGAATTCAACAGGCACTTTTCTTCATATTTTGTTAGGAATTATAGGAAATGAAAAAACCTCTCTCGCGTGAAGTCGGGAACATTCTCTGACATAAGCCACCTTTCATGATCATATTAATGGGACAAACACATCGGTGGCCAAAACAGTAAGAGCCGCCGTGGCAATCATCGTTACTTTCGCAACCATTTATACGAAGTGTTACTCGAGTTATATTGATTCTAGTATGATTCGATGATCTCCTTAGCATGTCCTTACTTCGATTAAAAATGTACTGTGGCGGAAGCGTGAAAAGCAATTGTTCTAAATATAGGCAAAGTGAATAGCTAAGAAGTGGCATGCAATATTCCTTTGCTTTTTTAATTGCAAGTATTATAATACCATTAGTGAATTCACATCTTCCACTTTGCAAGATAGTATCCGCAGGACATCGACAAAGTCCATCCATAACATTGCAAAATGATCCACCGATACAAAGTTCACCTCTGTTACAGGGAGAATTAGGCTCGGCTAAAAACAGAAACACATTAAAATCCAGAGTTCGGATAAAAAGGGATTTTTAAGTTCATCGTGTTTCAGTTTCAGGCGTAATAATCCTTATTTTGGATATTAAGTGCAAAGAATAAAAAAAAAATAGCAGTAGAACGGTGGAACGGGAGTGAACAGCTAATGAAAGGTAATGGAAATTTGCCTTGATAGCTGGTATACTTCTTAATTTCAGTATTCTCTGTAATACAATTGCCATCCTTCGACACTTCACCATCAGGACATGAACATGAACCATTAATGCAAACATAGTTTGATATGCAAGTTTCCCCATTAAAACAAGATTCGCCAGGTTCAGCAAAAACCATCTGACATCTACCCTCCGTAAAAATCTCACCTGCTGGACAATGACATCTGTAAATTTATTCAGTTTACAGCAGTTAGCAAAATTAAAACAATTTTAACACATATTCCTGCTTCTGTAGCTAATACAGAAGCTCTTTTCAGCTCTATATCATATTCATTGTTAACTTTTCATCGGCATTCCTTCTTCCATTCCTAAATGGAAAATATGCCGACAGATAGCGAAATCAAATTTTCAGAATATTTAGTGGAGAGATTTTGAAAATTTTGGTGGAAGTCATTTTCGAGATTCCATCACTTTTTTGTCCCTTACGATTTAAATAAAAAAGCTTTACCTGTTTGCGACGCACTTCGTACCAGCTATGCAATCGGCATTGATGATACATGTTTTGATTGGTGATATTAACGTACGTGAAAACATTGGTATACAGGACTGATTCCAGTACTGGTGCCCATCTGAAATCTAGCCGTTTTTAGAAACAAGTTAATAACTCATCTGATAACGAAGTAAGATGAAACTCCAAGGTGAGATAATGCACAGATATGAACATGACTGAACAATAGTAAAACTGCTTAATTAGTTCTGGCTTTTTTAAAAAAAACAAACCTTGGCAAATACAAAGACCGCTTTTGTGATCGCAAAAGGAGTTTACTCCACACTGCAAGGAATTCGAGCATTTACCTGTAATAAAATTTAGTATTCAAAATGCATAGAAAAATTTTTAAATTCCATTGAGATATCAATAAAATCAAAACAAACATAATATTTCTATTAGTCAAACATCGTTAAAATTTGAATGTTGTGGGTAAAGCTCCAATATGACGATGCACCTGTTGCTGCTATGCATTGTCTATTATTCAAGAATGTCCCTTGCGGGCATTGACAAATCCCATCGATACAAAGTAAATCACCAGAACATGTTCCTCCATTTATACATGTCTCTTCATATTTTCTTGGAAAGAGAAAAAATTCTGAACATTACGTTTCATCAGTATCTTTCGTATTTTTTTAGCTTTTAGCAGTTCATATTTTCAATTGTTAAATTCAGTTTTCAAATACGAACTTCTCAGGACATTATTTTGCGAATAAAAAAATTTCCAGTGAATAAATGAAATCAGCTACTTATGACATCTCTTGCCAGGCACAAATAGTAAGCTTATTGAAGTAGACACTTAGAAAAACAAACTTTTTTGTTCAGGTACGCATAGACCACTTTGGTTTGTTGTACCAGTTGGGCATAAACAGATCTATAAATAAAAGTTATTTCTTATTTCCGGAATCTATCATTCTTTATACATATTCATTTCTAAAATATAGAAAAGAATACCACTATGAGAAATATCTCAAAATCGAACCGATTTGGTACATATCGATCCACCACTGCATAATTCTCCGTTAGCACAACTACCTCCAGCACCACTTAACATAAAGTCACGACACTTCCCATTCTATATGTCTTTTTAAATTGAAACATTAAATATGCAAGGATTTAGAAATGACGCTAAGGAAATATAAATATTTGGTAATAACAGTTCAGTAACCAATAATACTAACCTGTATAACCATACCCATTGGGCACTGACAGATGCCATCAATGCAATTTGCAATTCCGAGACAAATTTGAGTAGAGTTACAAGGAAAACCAATGGGAACCCTTCGTTCTAATAAACATTCACCGGATTTTGATACTGTCCCAAACGGACATTCGCATATACCGGAAGAACAGCTTGAGCTACTCAGACACTGTTCACTTCCATTTGAGCAAGCATTTACCACTGGTACTTGAATTTGAAGTTCATAAGGTTAGTTTTGTAAAAGAAATTTAATTTGTAAAAAAGAATTTCAATTACAAAAAAATCTTAGAGAAACTGGAATTCACAGTGACCTGCTTATAAATGAATTAGCTCAAATTAAAACTGAAAATTTTAGATATCAGAAAATTCTCAAAACATTTAACTTTCTCAAAATAACCTTGTTTGCATATTCCGTTATTACCGACAATATGACCTTGAAGGCAATTTTCAGCACACCTGTCACCTGTGAATACTTTACCCAGAGAGCAACGACAAATTCCTCGAATACAAATCATTTCAGCGTTACTTGTTTGACACTGTGATGAGTACTGACATTGCCTTCCTGGTTTAACAGCTGGAAAAAAAAGCTAGACCTAATCACTGATACTGACAGAATAATTGTACTTATTTGAAAAAGCAATAAACTTAAAAGAATGATTAGCGCCAACATCAGTGCGTCAACTAGATGATCGATTAAACATGCAAACTAATATTTTATGCTTTATCAGAGAAATAAATTGTACCTGATATACATTTTCCAACTATTGCAGAGAATGTCATGTTTTCACCGCATTTCACCGCACATATCCCATTAATCGGTATTAGTTTCCCAGGACACATACATTTATGCCGAGAACAGTATGCGCCATCAACGGCTGCTGAACATTGTACTGAGTGACTGCAACCATCTGCACCGGGTGGTAGCACTAAAAAATGACAGGTTTAGAAGATAGAACAACTTTTGTCTTCTAAGCACCTAAAAGCTATGAAAGATAATGTATTCAACAAAATTACTTTAAACAATTGCTTTAAAATAACAAATAAAACAATAGATTAACACCGATGATTCCTTTAAATCTTCTTTCCATCAAACCGTGAAGACAGAAAACCGGAAATGTTGAAAACTTTGTTCACGCTGTTTCTATTTTGATCTATTAGTAATTTCTGTGCCTTATTAAGATACCATACCTTGCATACACTGGCCCACTTCAGGTACCCAAACATAACCATGAATAGAACATTTTGTATCCCTTAAAGTACATGAATTTCCACTGAATTTCATTCCCCGAGCACACGTACATCTCAGTTTCTGACAAAATGCTCCTGGTTCAGTTGCTATACACTGTTCAGAGTAATGACAAGATTCGCCCGGTAGTCGTGCTGAAAAGCGAATAAAATTAATGAAAGATTTGAATTAGAAAGCTCTGAAAGATGCAAATACTTACTTGTCATACAAATGCCAGCTTCTTCTATAAATACTTGCTGTACAGGGCATAAAAATGAAACGGTTGTTCGGTGCACTGAAATGATCGAAATTTCACAAAAGCTTGAACACAGAGCAAATTAAAAAGATTCTCAAAAATGATTGGTAATCCGAAATTTACATGAAATATTATTCATGCGCCGCTGCAACAATTACAGATTTCCCTCAATATTTGATTAATGATTATGGCAATAACAATATCAATGCTAATATTTATCATTAAATTATCTTTAAGCCTTTTATGCACTTATGTATGTAAAAATTAATCACTCAACTACTCTTAGAAAAGTGTTAACAATTTGTCACCTAACTGAATAGTTTTAGCTAAATACTGGAAATTAAAAGACATAAGGAAAAGAAATCATTTCAGATTTTCATAATGCTAGTTAATTACTTTAAATTCAGAATTATTTCGTAGATTTTAAATATCAAGCAAGTAACAAAATAGAAATATTAACGTTAGAATATATTAACTTCAATCAATTATTAACCTGTTGGGAAGCCGGACAGGTTATATTTTGCTTTTTCAGTAAAACTGATCTGGTCGTAAGCGCTCATAGAGGGCGGTTGCGATCGTTTGCGTTGTGGAGTATATCGTTTATCTACAGAACTATTGCTCTGTTATGAGATTTTAACGACAAAGCAAAGGGAAACAAAAATAACTTACTATAGCAGTTATGAAATTGTAGGTTGGAATTTCAGAATTTGTATACCTGTACAGAGAGAACTTAGTTTTACTTTTTATAAAATGCTTAAAATATTTGCGCAAGGATAAAAAAAAAGAAATGGACTGAAGGTCCTCTTCGAACTTGATATTTTTATAAGTACGGTATCAATGAAAGAAGAAGCTTGTATAAAACTAACTTTTGAAACAACTGAATGCTTTAGCTTTAAAACCCTTTGGACAGTGGCATTTATTCTGACTGCAAATAGCACCTGGATAACCTTTAGCACATTGTCTTGAATCTTCACAACCCTTTTGTCCGGGATAAATTACTAAAATATGTTAGAAAGTGTTCGAGATATTATGCGTTCATCTTTCTCTTTTATTTCAAGTTGAACTTTTTTTCATTTACTGATTTCTTCATTTCGTTTTTTATCCTTTATGTTATAGTTGCTAGATTCTATAGGGAAAAAATTGGCTCAAACTTATTAAATCATGCTACAAGCTCTATTTTTACAAAACAATTTTTTTTTTTTTTTTTTTTTGATTTTTAAAACATTTAAAATAAGGACTTTTTTCTATAAAGCTTTTTTTTTTTTATTTTCATAAAAAACATACTACAGAGATAAGTGATAAAATAAAATGCTGAAATAGTTTTATAGTTACTTGGTTTACACTTTCCGCCTAGGACGAAATGTGTTGATAAGCACCAGCATTTTCCACTGCCCCTATTGCAGTATTCCCCCTTTCCCGTACATTCATCCGATGTTTTACATTTCGATGCCAGAGTTTTACCTAAAAACAGATGAGAATTTTAAATATATATGTAATGAAATTAGGACATGAACCTTTCTAATATTTATAGCATTACTTATTATTCTGAGAGATGAATGAAAAGGAGATTTACAAAAAGTTGTTGAACTGAAATCCTTAAAAATCAAATAATTGCATGGCATTGATTAAGAAAATTATATAGTTCACATTCCTTAGCAACTTCCTAAACAAATATTTAGAGATAAATATCCAAAATTCATAAAAACGATCCCATATTACTTGATTTTAAGATACACTCTTTGTTGACCTCTTCGTACATTGGTGAGCAGGCGCAGATATTATTGACGCAAAAAGTATTTGGAGTTGTACACGGCAAATTACGTGGGTCACAAGAGGCCCCAATCTCACCGACATGAGGTACTTTGTCTGGTGAGGAACCTAAATTTTGAGGTCAGTAATTTCTGTTAATTCTCAAGAAAATATAACTTGGGGAATAAAATAATGGTATTCATAAAAAGAGATATGTAATTGATAGCATTTTGAATGGAGGGTGAAGCAGAAGTACAAAGGTTATTTGGAGTTCAAAAGTTCCTTTATACTACTGCCATCTTCAATGACCCCTCAGTGGTCTTTTTATTATGGGCGCACAGTTGCTTCCGTTTCTCGCAAAACTTTTCTTCACTTCAATCTTCTCATTATCTTATTAGTGAAAATGACAAGTAAGATCTGACAGACAAAATATCTTTAAAGTTATTCACTGATTAATCAAGATTACCATTATCATTCTCTAAAAACTCGTTTATCCTGAGTTAAATTTCAAAAATTAACAGGGTTGTTTAAACGTAGATAACAATTCCATGTATTGCCAATCTTATAAGACTATTATAGCTATTCATTACTTAATTATTCAGAATTTTTAACAAAGTGAATAGAAATGTTCTAATTCTTTATGAATAAAGAGTATCAAGATTTTCAGCCATATTAAACACTCTTTACTTTGTATTATTTAGAAGAAAAAATTAATGAAAACATTTCAACCAAATTATTTAAAATTTTTGATGAAGCACCGGGAATGAATGCTAATTAAAGTGACAACTATTTCCTACTTATTATATATGTAATACGCAGAAAATAGTTGTTGCAAATTCAGAAATTGTATAAGAAAACATATCGAGATCTTAGTTGGCTTTCAGAAAAACATAGTTATTTCAGAAATCAGTTTAAATAATATTAATTATTGATGAATTCCCAACGTTTGTTACGAGACTTTTTTTTTTTTTTTTGTAAGAGAATCTTTTTGTAGGAGAAATTTTAGGAGGAAATCTCTTTAATTTTCTTGTAAAATGGAACTAGCAACATTGTGTGACATTAAAGTTGTATCCTGTTGTGATCCAAAATAGATAAATTAAACTACTTACCAGCAAACAACAATGACAAGAAAAATGGGATAACCATCCAAAAAATTGTTGTTTCAAAATATTCAGAATATATCCAAGGAGAACTAACGCTCCCACCAAATTCTTTTATTATTTTGACTTTGAGAGAAAAGAAGTAATTCTTCTGTAAGCGAGAATAATTGGATTTGAAAGGATGGTTAGAATATGCTGAAAACACAATATTAAAGTGAAAGGAGAGCTTATACAGATGAAAGCTATTAGTCGAGTTCAGATTTCGTTCCTCTTAGGTCAACAAATTTTAGTTTATTCTAGAGCTTGACATAGATTCGTTAAATTGCGGATGCTGGTGTGGTCTGAAGATGTTACAAAGGCTTTTAATGTTTGGGTTAGCCATTTTGTTATGCGAACCGATGCGGCTAACTTGTCCGAAGCTAGACAATCTATAGGGATAACCTGTATATTTGCACAACTGAATCAACAATAACCTCTATGTCCATTAATCCCAACACAACATACTTCCTGTTTCCAACTGTAGAAATATGCAAACAAAATTTGCATATTTCTACATAATAATAATACGTCGGGATTTATGTATGCTTGAAACCAAAAATACCTAAAAACTCACTCTTATCTGTTTTTAAATCTTATAATAAATTTTTTAAATGATAAATTTAGAAAAGTGAAAATAGGAATCAAATGTCAAGGCAGATTACATTGAACTGGTCATCCCCAATACTTATAGCTGAGAGTTCCACCGGAAAGTAATTCTAAATACATTGTTTTTGTTCACGATGTAATTAGGCCATTGAGTGAGTAATTATCGTATTTTCTAACATGAACAATGTTTATAAGCATAAAAGCTTAGGAATTTCTTTGTGGAGATGAAGTGTCAAAAAGCAAGTTCTCACAGCTTGTAAGCCTCTTGTTCATTTTCATATCAAATTCGTTCGAATGCTATGGTACCAAAGGAATATTAGAAGTGAGAAACTAACATGGATGAAATGAAAGAATGAAGCTATTAATGAAGTATTTTAAGTAGGCGAAATGTGGTGGATGGTTGATAAAAATTTCTTAGTTGCGCTCTTACTGACTGCATGAGACGTCAGTTATATCAACAGCGCCTCACTAAGATAAGCAATAATAACTTGGTAGAAGTATTATATCAATAATAATAATAATGATAGTTGAAGGAAATTGGTTAATCACTCACATCCCATTTTTCTTTACTTTCAGATATTCATAAGTTGTGAAATTGGTTGACAATCGAAGCCTAGTTGTTAGCTATGCCGTATTGCTCTTTCCAATGAATCAATCATTCATTATATGCTCTGAATCATTTAACACTGCCACTGTCGGATTCGCTGTGTTTATGGCTTCAAAACGCCTCATTGTTAGCCAAACGACCTTATCGATTATAAATTGTTTACTGCGCTATCTGTTCTAAATTCTTTTTTGCTTAAGTTGAATCATTTACTTTATCTTTTTGCGATAAGGTAATGAAATATTAGATTACAGTGGAATATAATGAAGCTTTGTCTCTAGAAGAATCGCTTTCAAATTTTGCTTAAGCATGACTTCGAGTGAGAAATTAGAAGCTCAAAAAAAAATTGAGTGAGAAATATTTAATTTAACCGGAAAAGCAATTGCCTATTGTGCTAAAGTTAAAATCATTATTTAAAACTTTTTTGGAATTTAGTTTAAACTGCTTTATCGGTTATGTAACTTATAACACGGGTCTTTAAAACACTTCCTGATAGCAGGCCATATCTGATCTTAGAGTTACTTACAGCATTTCTTTTTTCTAAATTTATTTTTTTCTTGAGTCGAGTCCGTCTTTCAAATAAGCTAGACCTTCTAGGAAAGACTAGAAAGCATTTTATCTCAAAGTTTCATTAAATTTAGCCGAAAACTAAGTATTTAATCATAGTCGCTAAGTTTAGTGAAATTTCAAGTGACAATAGCGTTTGACAATGTCACTTATCGACATCCATTTTTAAATTTTTGTTGTTTTTTAGCTAATATTTGATTATAAAGTTAATACATCTGTGGATGGACTTATTTTAAATATGTGATTTGATGGAAGTTAAACTGATTAATAGCGAAACTCGAGTTATAGTTCATGTAATGAGTGCAGCAATCTGAAATAACAAAAGAAACATGGATATGTTGCGATGGGTTTTTGGAATTGAATTGAATCACTGATAATCTGATAAGGTACAGATCTGAGTTGGACACTTTTCAGTCGCTGTTATGTGTAAAATGTCTAGATGTGTATTAAATCGCTATGTTCAGTGTAACTATTACACGTTTTCAACAACTGAAGTGGAAAAGCATCTTGAAGAGAACAGGAATTAGGCTTAATGAGTGGACATGAATGTATGATAATAATTAGCTTCTAGGTGTCTATTTATATATAATATCTCTTTCTCTCTCCCTCTCTCTACTTTTCTTAATTCATCAAAAAGAAGGGAACTGATTCTTGTTGGCGCTACTGAAAGAGACAGGTAGCGATAGAAGGTCAGTCATGTAAGATTAATATTACTTGTAGGTGAGAAAAGTAATGCCAATTTTAATGCTGCAATATTAATTCTTGCATTTTTCTTCACCCAAATCTTCCACTCTATTCCCTTCTAGTATTGTTTACTGTTTATTTTTCACGTTTTATTTAACTTACCATTTCTACTCTTTTTTAGTAGCTAATGCTTGCATGAATGAAACTGATGTTTGACATTGCTCATAAACTGTCTTAGTGAGATTTATAAAAAAGTTATGATTATGAGAAAGAATATAGAATGTATCTCAGTATTCTATTTTACTTGAGGTTACGTTTAATACTAACGTGTCCTTCTTAAGCTTACTAGATTTCATTCCTAAAAATTCTAGTTCAGAAAGCATAATATGAAAGAATGAAAGCGGAGAACCTCAAGAACACGTTAGAATCACATTCCGTACATTACCTCCGTGATTAATTGTTTTTATAAGATTGTTGGTTATTACAACTCTTGAAGTAAATAGCCATTTGGCTGAATTGAAATGAAATCAGCAATGCTAGAAGGTATTAGTCAGATGATATGAAATGTGTCTACAACGAAGGAGGGAAAGAGAAGAGAGAAGATGAACGATATGTTAGAAATTCATTCACCCATCTTGCCAACTGTCTGATATTCTATTCTCTTGTTCCTTTCCTCAAGTAAAGATTTATTTTGCAATTGTAATTATAGACGGGATATATATCCCATCTCATCCGGTTATCCGGACTCTTCTTCATAAAGCGAACATTTGATGATAGATTGATTGTACAACAAACGAGTCATTCATATTGCCACGTCTTTCTTTTATTTTCGTTTCTTTTCATAATTTCAGCTTTTTTTTTTGATGAATGTCTGATTTTTTTTTTATTTCTTAAAAAATATATTATCGCATATGTGATTAAAGCGCATTACTTTTTTACGTAGTACATTCTCTGAGATGCAAAATTGACAGTGGCTTGGCGCTTTGCTTTTGCTATAATTTACACAAAACTGAACGGAATTATCAACCAGGAATCTTTAATATTGTCCATGATTGATGTTGACGATAGCAGATTTCTTTTTTACTTTCACTGAATAGTAGAAGGTCTTCTATTAGAAACATTTTTTTGTCGAGGCCGTGCTAACATGAAATACGATTCCATCACCCTAAATTTTTAGATTTAAAAAGTATATACATTTTCTAAATGTAAAAAAAAAATTTTTCCCCCAGAAAATGATTAGAACAGCTTTTTCATTTCTATATATTTTATAGAAGTGAACCATTCAATTCTAGTCTTTTCCAGATCATAAAATTAGAAGATGTGCAAATGAATATTACATTTTCATGGCTAACTGCGCAACTTTCAAGAAATCACAATGTTCTTTAATTTAAATTCAACAAACGTCGATGTTAAGGTTACTTCTGAGAAGCATTCTGTAGCTTGAGGTTATCAGTAAAGTTTAAAAAACAATTCAGTTGTTCTTAGCATTTTAACCTTATTTTTGTTGTGTTGATAATGATAACATCTAGCAACTGCATATTTATCAACGAGAGCGCTTACTAATGCCCGCTTTTTGTACTATAAATAATGAACAAGTATCTTTACTTCATGCAACTTTTCTAGAACTACTCTGCAGAATTCTCAGTTCAACTGAACTCGCCAAATTCAATTTTCAAAAGCATATCTGAAGTAATTTTTGTCTACTGGTGTGTGTTTTTACTCCAGTTATTACAAGTTCCAGCTTATTTGGTTATTATCGTAAGGTTAGTATCATGTTTGTTTTGTTTCACATCTGTTAAATTCTATCTCTTTTCTAATAGTGGAAAAATGGGATTATTGCATTCCACACCTTGGCTGAGTTCATAATTGTTTCGTATTATTAATTGCTTTATGATACTATCAACTGTGAATGATCTAATTAGATCGAAGATAAAAAAGTGATGAAAAATGCTGTTATTGTTTGTTTATTGCAAATTGTAACAGTATTAGAGTATTTAATTAAAGTATTTGATGCGTAATTCTTAACGATTTCTTGTTGCTTTCTGCTCCTCGTTTTTCCTGTCATTGTGAGATAAAATATTTCTAATTTTATATTCTCATATAGCTATCGTTGAAACTCAAAAAGATTGAGTGTATTTAACATTCATTAATAAAAACTATCCGTCAACAGATGTAATAATGTTGGGACTAAATTCATTTGTTGTTTAGGATCAGCGGAAGTGAACCATATTAAAATTACAAATTGTTTATTGGTGAGTTTAGAGATACGAAGTAGAACTGAGAAAAAGAAAGTAATAAAAGCTTTTGCAGAAACAAAAATTGAGAATTTTTGTCCAAAAATTTTAATTGATTTAATTTTTATTGCGGAATAAAAAGATTAGAATTAGATTTAGAAGTAAATTTCAGTCGAAGTAATCAATTCTGAGTTCTTATATTTAGGTTTTAAAATTCAAAACATTCAGTGGGAAGTGTTATTCAAGATTATTATAGCAATTCATGTAATTCCCAAGGTACTGAGTATCATGAGCTGCACTTTTTTTTCATTTACTATTACTTCGGACTTTTTATTGAACTTTAATTTTTGTAGTTATTCAGTTAAGTCAGCAAGTCACAATAAGCCATTCTGATGCTTCTGCTTTAAGTGATAATGCCAGAAAAAGGTAACTGATATTGTCAATATCCATAGATTCTGAAAAAGATTGGGGATGAAATGTAATTGTGGATCAAGTAGTATTTAGATATTTCAGTTTGATATGAACTTATATGGACAATTAATAAAATTCCCAGCCTGAAATAAGAGTTGGACACATTTCTTGGTTCGCCATACAAGAAAAATTGACTCGATGAGTAATATAAATATCGGAAGCGTTATAGCGTAATTTGTATTTGTACTGATAGTTTTAAGCATTCTGTTTGCAGCTTAAAAAAATTGATTGAAGGTCTCATCGAGCGATAATTTGGTTTATCTCTAATTAATATAGCTGTTTTTCTTTACTTATTATTGTTCTTTCATTGCATAGCTTTGCTTTTTGTAGATAGGGAAAACACTAAATAGCCGTGGAGTCCTAAAAACTTTACCGCCTCTCCTTGGGGAATCTTTCGCTTATTTTTGCTAAATTCTTCTTTTTCTGCTTTTCATATTTAAAGTTTTGTTGTTTTTGTATTTAAAATTCCTCAACTGAATTGTATATCTCCTGACATTGCAGTTGTATGAATGCATTAACAGTCTAATCAGCCAGATGAACGCATTTTGCTATTGTGGGATTTAAGATTTAAATCAGTTTGCAGGATGACAAACGGATTGGGCTATATAAGTCAAGGATGTGCTATATAAGTGAATCAATTGACCTTTCGTTATCAGGGTCACCGAGGTTTGTACTTGTTCTACCAGAAATATGGAGAATATTGGCTTTTTTGAAAGCTTTGGATTGAAAACTCTGATTTAGATTCTGCTAGTGGCTATCTAATGAATTTAGAAATATTGGATAGATAGATTTTATCCTGCAAAATTGATAGAAGGACCCTAAGTTGACAATGATGTGGAATTACTCTTCATTTTAATAAACTCATAAACCAACATTTTCTGAAGACTGCCAAACTAATAATATATTAATATTTGGATTTAATAATTTTTGACACGAGAATAATATCAAAACCACATACATTTTGTTTTAAAAATTCCCTTCGATTTAATAATTGGTTGGATCAATGAAGGGTAAATGTGTAGAGACAGATGAATAGATAAATATGCAAATAGATAGATAGACAAAGGATAGATGATATGTCTCATTTAGTAACGTATGTCAATTTAGCTATTGCTTAATAAAATAAAGCTTTGTCATCCTGTTGGCTAAATTAAAATTAAAGTAATATTATTTTTATGGCGTCAAATTCCATCTTTCTACTCTTGATTTATCCAGTTGTGATTGGAATTGCAAATGTATGACAATGTTGATTGTTTTAATGTCATTAAAAATCATTCAGTCTTAAAACCTCGTTTGTGCCGCATTATATTATGCTCACTTTATTTTTGCTAGTGCAAAGTATATTATCCTTGTTTTTTATTTTATATTACTTTTATTAACTGTACATTTTGTGAAGAAAAAAGAATTTAGAACGAGCGTGCGATATTTGAAAGTTGTTTTTTCGATGTGCTGTAACTATTTAATCTCTTAGTGCTGTAATCATTTAAACACATATCTGATTCTGAGAATTTAGACTTCGTTTTGTTGACACATTGATTAGTTTTTGCCGCAAAGATGGTTGACGAGTCACAGATGAAAAACGCTACATAACTGCACTGACCTTTGACCTTCTTCATATTGCTCTGTCAAAAGCAGCAGGTATCAGTAGTAATAGTTGTGTCATTCGTTCAGTCATTGCCAGAATTCTGTGCATTTCATTAGACAAACTGTTTCTCCAACTATCTTACAGTGGAAAGACACAAATACTTGAAATTCAACATGCACTGTTGAAGCTTTTATTACGAAATGCATAAATACAACTTTCATTTTTTGAAAAGCATAAGTGCAACTTGAATTTTACTCGGAGCACTTTCACTTTTCGATACTTGCTAAATTCAAAAATCCAGTATGCAATTATTGAAACTCAACGTTTCTGTTAGCATCTTTTATGTTCTCACAACGTTATCTTCACTAGCTTCTTGTCCTCATTCACACTATCTAGGAATGACAGTTTTAGTTTTAATTGTGCCTTCTAAAGTTAACTTTGGCTACTGATTGTATGATTTGATAATTCGTTGCGGAATTATCAATTTTGCAATCAAATGATGAAAATTTCAGATATCATTGCATTCTATTGAGTCACTTATCCGCTGGAAATACGCGTATCTTGCCTTCATATTTTTTATACAGTTGACATCATGGGAGGCAACAACAGTACTCCAAAATCAGATACAATGATGGATCATCAACCTTATCCAGACATGAATGTTATATTTAAAAGCATTCCGAAGATGATGCAGGTTGTTGTCATTTCCGATATAATTATTTGTATTGGTTAAATCACGGTGAAGCATATTTTGACACTAATACACGTCCGGTAATTTTGTCGTAAAGTGTAGGGATTTATGAGAAAATCTTGTAGGTTGCCGATGATATGCACCGAATGACCAATTACATCATGGATTTGCGCAACATGACACTTGCTTTGGTTTGCTTGACGGTTATCGGGGTATTTTTATTTCTGATCGTGAAACTTACTCAGGGACGGAGTAGTGCTGCACGTCGAAAACGTGATTTGGGACATCGGATTGAGGTTTGTTTCCAAAAGTTTTTTTGCGTCTTTTTGAATGTGGAATTGATACCAACTCAATAAAATTAAGTAAATGATACTTTAAAATGGTTTTCTTGGCTTTTTCTGGAAGAGAATTTTTAATGGCCTAAATTTTTTTTCAAATCTTTAAAGACCTGAAGAGAGATTTTTAAAGGCCTTAAGGGAATGCATTATATTTTGGGCAAAAAGATCCTGGATAGGTCATCAAGGCAGCTATACTATTGCATCTTTTGTCTTCACATAGGTAGTGGTTTTTATTCAGCAATTGGACTATTTGAAGTAATTCCAAAAATAACTGATAAAGTGAATGAAGGTGATTTATGCTAAGCCGTTGGTCAAAATGACTCAACGTGAGGAAATGCTTTCAGTCACTGGAGGATCGATCTTTACCTCGACACACCCATTATGGTGCCTATCACGGATATTTAGACTCGTGGCATGATTCAAGAAATCAAAAAGTTACTGGTGTTGGCGCTACGGTCATAGATATAGAAAAAATGCCGATGAATCAGTCGCATGATAATTCGAGTCACAACGAAACTACCACAACACCTCTCGAAACACCCAATTTGCTTAATGGCCATGCTCATAAAGTTTGACATTTTTTTGTTTCCTTTCTTTTCCATGTAACTCCTAAAATAGTGAAATGTATTGTAATTGCTCGAATGTATTCTTATAATCACATCTTTGATCTACTCGTTGAAAAATTGAAGCAACTGCTTTATTTCTAACTAAAAATTTAAACGGTTAGACTTTGCTGTCAGACTTTTTCATCTTTCATATATGAGGGTGTACTACAGCGAAATCAGTTGTTTGTTTCAGATTTTAATCATTAACTGTAAGCTAATTGATTATAGCCATTAGATAGAGCCTTGGAATTTGTTATGTTTAAGTTTTTTTCTTTCGAATGAATTCAGTGTTCATAATCATTGTTGGTGAAGCTAACAAACATGAATGTTGTCAAGTGATATTTGATATCTTTTCATGTATCTTTCAAGGTAGCATTTACTCTTTCTTTACAGGATAACTTCTTTATGAACTTTTTGCTAAATATAAAAGTCGAAGCATTCCCATTATTAATTTTCTGTTAAATTATCATTATCTAAAACTTTTCACTTCAGGAAGTTATCCTGTGAAGAAAGAGATCGAGTATCACCATCATTATCTAAAACTGTTCACTTCAGAAAGTTATCCTCTGAAGAAAGAGATCGAGTATTACTGGTGATACTCGATCTCTTTCCTTGCAGTAAATCCTGGTAAGTATCAGTACCACTCAAATAGATTGCACTTCTGTAAACATATTATAACTACAGTGATATCACTTACTTTTGCAAAAATTTTTGCAGAACAATTTAGGTTAATTGCTGTTTAAACGCTTCATTATATTTATAACAGTTCCACGATTTGAATATCCAAAAAATGAGCTTTCATTATAGTTTCCTTACTAAGAAACTTTTTTGGTTACCACTGCTTAGGACAATAGTGGTTAACTACTAGCGACCATTCTACAGTAATGACCTTTATTATATTATCTTGGAGGATTAATTACCACATTGTTAATTTCTTTCATATCTGGAGCACTTTTTTCCTTTAAATTTAATTTGAAAAAAATATTTGTAGAGGAATTCATCACTGTTGCATTCCTTTCTTTTTCACTTTTGTCATGCAAGTTTATTCACTGTAAGCTAAGAAAAAAGACTTATATCGACCTTTTTCTTTTTCTCTGATCATTTTATTTCTGGCATTTTATTTTTTTCATCTTGGAAAGCACTTTTTTCGAGCACTGTATCATCCTCCAAAATTTTCTGTTTAAAACCATTTTCTTCCTGTGTTCGTTTTAGCCGTTTCTATTAGTTTGTGTTACTTTGTGTTACTGTTTGTCGTGTTGTTCTCGTTCTTTACAAATTGCCTAATTATTTTCTTGTTTTGGAAATTTTTTGAGTCTTTCCTTTAATTGTTTTTGCTGAAATTTTAATTAATTGATGTTCGAAATTGTTCAATCACTACTAGGAAATGAAAGAACGAATACATTTCAGAAGAAACAATACTTAGATCCAAATATGAACTTTTTTTGTAAGAGAAATACATTTGTTATTACTTTATTTCTTTAAAATGAGTAAGAAATTTCATTGGTATTTGTAGTCTTTCTTCGCTGCATACTTCTTGCATTTATTACGTGCATAAATTTGACATTTGATTTCAACTTTAAATTTTGTTTTGATTTCAGACGTCGGAGCCGGTGAAGTTGGTGGTGGAGGATTTGCCGTATGCTGATAGTTGAGATTGTTAAATGATTATGGTTTAATATTTGAAATATAATGAGGATTTGTCAAAATACTTGACTTATTTTTAATTTTCATTTATTTGGTATTAACATTCATCAGTTGAATTTATATTTTTGCTTTGAAAATTTAGCTTTCTTTAGTTTTCTTTTTGAACAAACGCATATATTTATGATGAGTAGAAAACCAACTTTTTTCTGGAGAGCGCTGCTCAAATACTTAAATTAAAATAAGAATAGAGCAGAAGTCTTATTACACTGAATGGCAAATTATTATCACAATGAACTGAAAAGAATGAAGCTTTGATTTTATATTCCTTTTCTTGCTTCAAACTATTCTGATTTTATAGTGCTTCATAAACTAATCATTTGTGAGTGCTGCGTGAATTATAATATGTACTACATACCTCGGCGATCTCTTCACCGCCAGTTCCACCATTATACTAGCTGGAACATTTTGGCTTCAACTTAAAATTTCTTCATGAATTAATTAATTGTACTAATTCTATGCATAACATAGCATAAAAGTGCAGTTTTATTATGCTCTCAAAACGCTGTCATTTCTTCCTCTTCTACTTGAACTTATATGGTTTTTCCTCATCTTTATATTAAATGCTTTTCGGTTCATTTTAGTTATCTAGTAATTTTAACAAGATCTGACGAACATTGTTTCATCATACAGTAATGTTGAGTCGTTTTATTTCGTTATTCTGTTCAGTTTAAGTGACGGTTTTCCAGATTATAAAGGAATTTCGGATTCAAGTTCAATTAGATTATAATTTATTAAGAGTAACGCAAATTATTCTTCAGAAATATGAAAAATCTCGTGTTGATTTTAAATTTTCAATACGTAGATAAAAGTATCAAAAAATGGAGCACTTCAAGCTATAGTATTATTCATTGAAAATTGTTTCCCTTTAGTGGCTTCCTTTATACGTGTAAATGAAACCTCGGTGCTTTATTTTAATTTCAATTTTATTACACTTTTTTGTCTTTTGTTATCGGTTTTTGTCTAATAAATAACTTTTCGTTTATTTGGATCGTCCATTTATCCTGTCATTCCAAATTTATTAAAAATTTACTAGCAGATTTTTTTAATTAAAAAATAACTAGTAGATTCAAACTGTAAACATTAAAGTTCCCATATGGCATTGATGAAGAATGAAAGCAGTTAATAGAAATTAAATTACTAAGGGGCTGTTCGGTTCAGAAATTCCGAATTTTTATTTTAATTCCAGTTTTATTACGCTTTTTATTTCTCACATAAATTCATTTCCTATTTTCTAGTAACATTGAACAAAGTAATTTGATAAAGTTGGCAGTGTAGGTGACAGTTACATATTTTTCAATGAAAATTGTTCTCATATTGAGCTGTAATAGATCATAAGAGTTAGCTTTGTTAAATACCATTCGCTGATTACCGCACCATATGATATGATCCGAAATAACACTTTTTCATAAAAATCGTAACAAAGTCTTTTGTGTGATGAGTACTGCTTACAAAGAAAAAACTGAGGGATTAAAGAAGGAAATTCAGAATTTCAGAAAATTTAATTACTTTTATCATGTACTTTCTCCAACACCTTTTTTCAACTCTTTCTCAATATCACATGAAAGTGTCAACAGAAATGATTAACATGACGTTAATAATCTTCAATTTTCAACTGCTTCGCCTAGTTTACTGATAACCAATCCCTTTCGTAAAAATTGCAATCTCAATTTGTTTCCTTGGAAAAAAATTTCCCCAAAGGAGTATTAACACGATAAAAAGGAAGTCAAAATAGTTTGAACATTTCAAACCACTAAGTCCAATAAAACTAACAAATTCTGAAACTTAGCAATCGTGAGAAAACCTTACTTCAATCAGGTAACTGTTTCACCACTTTTTGTACCTAGGTTTCGCTGTAAAAACTCTCAATAACCAACACAAGTAAACTTACTTGCAAAAGTTTTGAACAAAAACAAAATTTGTTAGTTCTTCAATCTCCATTTCTTTCCAGAATCCTTTCCCTTTTATCTCATGCAACTGTAATTCCAGTTTCAACTGCATTTTATAGTTTGAGTCTGTGATATATAATTATAAATAAATTTGTTCAAAAACACTGCCACGAAAACTAAAAATAGTAGTTTATTCAACCCGAAAACACCCAAACACTTAATATAAAACGAATTACAATGAAAAGCAGGAAAAATCGATTTGGCAAACATTCTTTCATTTAGAAATAAATAAAGGCAGCACAATTGTGGTAAATACCCCGGCTGAGCGATGAATGAAAGACACATACAGAAGTAACTGTAAATACCGATTTGGTACCACCGAGCCGCTTAGTTGAATTATGGTATCGTACAATTTGATTCTAGAATTTTGAATCATAAACAGATGTTAAGTAATGGCGCTGGTTTCAAGAAAGGTGTGGGCTACTAATTCGATATTAAAGGTCATCAGTAAGATAAAGTCAAAGCTCATCAATAAATTAAATTAATCGGCAAGTAAAAAAGAGCTTGTTCAGAGTTCTTCTACTCTTCCAGAAATAATTGTTGAAAAGATGAAACAACAGGAAATAAACTATTAAAATGGAATTAAAAAAAAAAAAAGTGTCTGCTAAGTCGCAAGACTGGGCTTACAGCACAGAGGCGCACAAAACGTAACTGTAAAAGGAAAAAAAAAAGCATTGTTAACATTTAGGGAATAGCAACAATGGAAATAAATGATTACAACCATAATTAATTGACGATTAGTACTTTTATAGAAAACAATACCTCCCACTATATAAAAACGACTGTCCCACCCGAAACAGAAATTGAACACAGCTGTAAAACCTGCACATGAATTTGTTGATGTACGTTCCAAAAAAAAAAAAAAAATACTGAACGAACAGATGAAGAATCCTCAGTTAACGACGACCAGAACCAGTGGATTCAGGTGGTGTGATTGGATTAGATTCGATGAAGTAGGACTGTAGCGTATTGTTATTACCAGTTGTTGTAGCTGCATTAAGTAGAGATGTTGTAGTTGGATAGGCAGCCGATGAATGTGCTTGGTAATCACCTGCCACTGGGAAGGATTGGAGCGCAGCATCGAATGATAACTGACTGAAATATACGGTAATTGAGCAGAAACACTGAAGGATGACTATAATTTTTTTTTTTTTTTTTGTAGCAGAATTGACATACGACTGTCCTCCTGTCTTACGACCGGTTAATTTAGATAATACAAATGCGTACTTCATCATCATGTTATAATCAATATTAGGCGATTGCATGAAAGCATTAACGCCAGTCGGTGTGCTTATGTTCGTTCCTGGAGTGATCGGGCTACCTGTTGGTGAAACGAAAATGGGTTGAGCAGCAATAGAACCATTCGGATGACGTATCGGTGAGACAAGTGTCATTGGTGCAATCAGTCGTGGTGTTTCTGCAACAAATTTATTACACGCCAATTACAGAAAAATTAAGGAATTAATGAGCAAAGAGTTAGACTGAAGCGTTAGCTTTGGAATTATTTCTAGTGAAAGATCACGAATTAGGAGTAAAGCACACGCAAATAATCATAAATTGTTTTCTTGTTGCAATCCAAATGCTTTCTTTCAAAATAAGCAACGAACGCAATGGGTATTTGTTGACAGGTCGATATGTTCCATTGATAATTGCAAGTTCCATCAACTGTCTTCGCTTCAGTTCATCGGTTCCTTCCGGCTAAAATAATTGAACTTCTCAGTTCTCACTTATTTCGATTTTCAGTATGCAAATTCAAAAAAAATGTAACGAGCTTTGTCGAAAATTTGAATGAAAAACCGATGGAATGAGTAATTTCTTGATCTGATCGACAGCAGCTTTTAGCTTTGTGTAAGCACGATTAGGTGTATCTTCACACTGAACCAAGACGTGCAATTCGTCATCGAGATGTTCCCAATTTGGCTTGCCTCGATTCATCTCTTCCTTAAAACAGTAAATTTGAAACATGTTTTACTTCAAATAGCCTTTGCACAACATTAGAACTTAATGAATTAGCTATTTTAGATAAGAAGATAGTACTTCTTAGTTTAGCCCTACTAAATATGTCAAGTTTCATCAGTCATTATTACTTATAATATTTATCCAGTAAGTTCTCTAACTCATTTATTATGCAAATTGGTTGCTCGCACCAAACTTTCTTCTAATGCCAAACCTCTCAAAACCTATAACATACTTTCCGACGATCACGCATAGACCCACGTCCTCTAACCATGATTTTACAGCCTGTTTCTTGTTCCAGCTGCTTAGCAGTCATGCCGCGAGGACCAAGAATTCGTCCAACAAAATTGTACTAAAATAAGACTAGTCTTTTATTTATTTCTTCAACTGATATAATAATTATGAAGCTGTCAAAGATTTTAACCGGTAGAAGTCTTTATTCAATTCAGAAATAGTTTACGTCAGGATGCTCCTTGCGAGGCACATACACTTTCTCTTGAATAGTAACTGGCTCGCCCTCTGGTTCTGGTAAGTCAAGGCGCTCAATGGAAAAATGACACTGGAAAAGTGCCATGCGAACGCGATTAATCTCTGAAAAAGGAAAAACTCAGCATACTATAAATTGATACAGATGTCTTTTCTTCCAAAATTATGAAATTCTTTTATGAACCAGGAACGAGGAAGAGAAAAGAAAAAAATCACTTATTCTAGCAAAATTAGTTCTATGAATCTTAAAGAACACACATCTCACTACCACTGCGTTTGGAGAAATTCTGTGTAATCATGTAAGTTCTTGAGAAATTTAAAGAACTGGAGCAAAGTCAAAGTCATTTGTGATTCTGTCAAATAAAATCCTCGCATTATATCTGATAAGAAACAGTTGGGGAAACATTTTTAGAAAAAAGAAAAAATTACATTTACCTTCATCAACCAGACGTTCCACGTGACGAAAAACTTGTGGAAAGAGAGCAAGTTGTTTCTTCTCTTTTAGAAGATCAGCAAGATACTCCATCGTGCACTCTGTACCTGTTACTTCTCCTTGTGCTGAGTTTCCATTTCCCGATCCCGTGTTCCCTCAAAGTTGCAACAGTACAAAAATTTGTTCCAATTTGCAATGCAGATGTTAAAATCTTCAAATAATAAAAAGAGCTTTATAAAAAGACAAACCTTTATCACTTCGAAGTGGAAGTAGCTGTTTCTTCGGTGTTTTTGGTTGACCAAATGGTGTAAATGTCTAAAGCACACAAAAATCTAGCATATCATCTTAGTGAAAATTGATTGTGCATTTTTATCAAGTCGAAAGAAACAATATTTAAGTTCTTATGACGACGATACCTCAAAATCCTTGAACATTTTGAGAAGTGGCTGACCAATCGGTGTGCACCGCTGTCCAGCAGATGTTGCAGCGGATGTTTCCATGATTCAAACGAGAACTAAAGACTGCTTCGAGTTCAAAAATTATAAAGTAGCGGGAAAATGACAGTGGTAAGAGGCTATAAACGAACAAACATTATGATTTCAGATCCACAGATTCTGAATCTAACGATCTTTTAATTTTTGTTTCAGCTGTGGATCAAATTATTAATACTATGGGAGTGAAAATTACACAAATAAGAGTGAAAGTTGGAGATAAGCCACTAGGAAAATACTTCGAGGCTAATAGCTTCGTCTGAATGCAACTTACATTTCGAGCCCAAGGTTTCTTATAAAGAGAGAAGGGTTGAAGAAGACTAGAAAGAGACAAGATGAGAGATACAAGTAGATAAGTTCATAGAAGAAATGAAATGAAATGCAGAATGAAGGAATGCAAGCTTTAACCAACAGGGCTAGTTTGTTTGTTCTCAGGATAACACTTCTTGTCAGGTTGTTCACTTGTTAGGACCCCTATGTTGTTACTGTCGGCACCAAACCTCGAGAACGCCGACGACCTAAAATCATATTAATGTGGCAATTGTTTTCTGTAGCAACTACCGTAACCTCTGATATCCTAAAAGTTTGATATCTAATTGGCCTAAATGCAATTTTCCCCATCCGAATTTTCATATTCTATACTTTTCGAAATTAACAATTTAAATTTTTGAAGAATATCGCAACCATTGAGACTAGCTTAGATATATACATTATCCATGCAGTACCATAATAGTTCTTCCCTTCTTCACCAAAAACTACATATGCATACTACAAAAAGTATGTCGACAAAGGATGCAAGCACTATCCATGCGAGGAACACGCACTCACGTACTCAACTACACACGTGACCGCCCCACCTCATGCCAACCATCCTATAAAATAGACGGATACCGGAAGTGAACGGATAATATCCCCATGCACACTCTTTCACTAACAATGCCCAACTCGCCACTACTCATTTCTCTCCCAATTCCGTTTTCTTTCCCTTTCCTCTTACATCCACTGTCTCTGCCCGTAGATCAGAATGCACCATCTGTATTGTTATGCAAATTTCACCGAGTGTTCTTATTTGAGATATACAGCAAACATCTCCAAGGAGTATGAATGTCTATCGCGAGAAACGTGCAAATGCTGAAGGTGAACACGCGATGAAGAGCAAATAAAGTGGAGAGAGAGAGATAGACATGTTGCATTGATAGTAAGCACGTAGGGAATGTCACGTGAGGGTACGTGAAATGGAGGACAGAATATGTTACAGCAGTGCAAGAAGTGTAAGATATGTGAGAAAGTGGTGGGATATGTTGCAGCAATGCGGTGGTCACGTCCATCGGTAGCGCGCTGCTCAGATGCCGGACGGATTGCAATCGTCCGCACCTCAGTACTTGTCTTGTCGGAACTGTTCTTCCTCACATCCACAGATCCTTTCCGTCAGTTATCAGCGGAGCAAGGGAAGCATACAGTCCTTTCGTATGGGTTTCATATGTGGTATAATACCCGTTTTATTTGATGATTATCAGTGGAAAGTAGAGGAAAATTGCTGGTGCAGTGTGTGTAGTAGAATCATTCATGTAAAGTATAATCCGTTAACAAGTGGCAATTAATGCCCATGTCTAGATGGTTGCTTCATTATCAGAGTAATAAGACATAACGTAGAGCAACGTGACTATTTTTGAGAGGAGGAATTGTATTATTAATTGAAACGTTTGTATTGTAATCATAGAAACACAAATATATGAATATTGTCAACCGTAAAATTTAGTTCCTTAAATCAGGTTGGTCTGATAAGTGCTATTTATATCTCTCTATGCTGATATGGCCTTTGTAAAATATTTATATCTGGCTCCTCTGAGTATAATAAAGTTATATATGAGAATAATGTTACTTAGAAAAAGTCTTGATTTAGACGAACATTCCTGTAGTCTATGTTTAAAGTTTTGATAAAATGCTACCTATGTTGAAATCTTTGAAACAAATAAGAAGATGAGAACTGTTCATCCATTGCAGTAGTGTGTATCATGTTGATGATGATATAAAAGTAGGGTCAAATAAGAAAACCTTTAAGACGAAGTCGCTCAGTAGTGTTCTAGGTGAATAGTTCAATCCATTCAAAGCTTTATGCTCCATTACAACCATACATTTATCAACCAGCAAGCAGTTACTGCTAACAAGAATGATAAGTGAAGATATGTTGTCACGGGAACTGCAACTCGAGATGTGAGTTATTCTCGGTAGTTGGGCTGGATTTCATATGCATAAAGAGTAGATTTTGCTGTTGTTGCTGTTCAAGTTGATTTTTAGCTGAAATATCAAGACCGAGCAGTGAACCAGCTGGCGCCAATACATCCATCCCACAACTATAACCGCTATCCGCCTCTATAAAATATTTACAAAGTCAAGTAATAAAATATAAAAGAACTTAAAACAGCTTGAAAAGGTTATTAGATCAAGTGATCTTTTTATGAGGTTGACATTTATAAATCTCAGATTTTTGGGTTTACTTAAGCAAGGTGAGAAACGAATCGCCCAACTCCTTTTATTGTAACTTTAAGATATACAAAAAGAACTAATATTTGCACTGACTTCTAAAGAACTCAGTCCATTTCAATAAAGCAAGAAAAAAATGTGTTTAGAAATGCATGCAGGTATTGGGGCACTTGTCCCTTCTTCCTTGTTGCAATAAAAAGACTACATATGTTAAATAATCGAACAAACTACCATATCCAACATCCAACTGGCCATCGGTATCCATAGGCATATCCAAATATCCTCCCACTCCTAAAAGAATAATCACATGTGTAAATTTGGAATTTCTCTTTTAACAGTCACTGCAAATGAAGATACAGCGTACGATTTATATGCAAATGATTCATCGCATAAATTCATTAAATCCTCGAGAGTAGAAAGCTGATACCGTAAACAGGACTCTCACAAATACTATCGTTGGGTGATGCACTACCACTATCCAGGCTTTTGGGTATGCCATACGTTCCCCATTGACGTCCAGCATCTTTTTTCAGACGTTTTTCTTTTGCTCGACGATTCTGAAACCAAACCTGGAAAGCAATGTGTCTACTTGTCATGAGTGTACATTTGGTTAAAAGTGAAAAATATATGAAGTGAGGGAAAAGAAAATCTTTTTGACTTGCTACCATAAAGTTTGCGGAGGTCATTCAAAATCTCAGCAGCTATAAATTTTGTAAATTTAGTTCTATTTAATATAATGACCCAACTTTCTTGCGTAAAACAAGCTAGATAAAATATGAAAAAAGTCAAACACTGAAATGCTATGTTGTAATATTGTTTTTGGAATCATATAGTTTTGCAAATCTGCAGCTGAATAAAGCTTAAGTCAAGCCATATATATCTTAAAATGTGTTGTTTATAGTTAAGGTTCAAACCAGCATGGTTAAAGCCTAAATGACGCTTCAAGAAATGACCTGGACAACTCTCATATCAAGACCAGTGTCAGCAGCCAACTGTTCTCGAACATGCCTTGCTGGCTTTGAACTTGCCTGATAAGCTTGTTTCAATGTTTCTAAACTTTTTGCTGATATCGTCGTTCTCGGCCGTTTTGTATTCGAATCAATATCCGTTTCTAAAAAGGATCATATTAAAAAACAAATTTCAGCTAAAAGTTCTGCTGAAAGTTAATTTATGGAGTGCTATCATAAAAACTTTCTATGAAGGCGAATAAATGTATATATTATAGTCAAAGCTAGATCCAAAAATTTTTTTTGATTTGAAGGATTTAAAAAAATAACCTTTACTTTTAGCCATTTCATAATCGGATTTGCAAACCAAACGACCATCAGTTGGTATTAAATAAAACTCTTCACCAGTTCGAAGTTCGCGTTTGCAGATGATACACTGAAAACAGGAGACGTGATAAACGTGTTCATTAGCTCGCCTCACCACCATATCTGGACATATTCCCTCGTCGCACATTGAACATTTCGTACCGAATCGTCTGCAACTGCAGTAACTTAAAATCAGAAAAAAACGAAGTATAATTTGTGTTTTATATTCTGATTTATGATTTAATGATTTATAATTTATGTGGTTAACTATGACAAGATAAGGAAAATGAGTACAGGCATATATTTCTATAGTACTATATTTCAGTTTAACTGAAGTTTATTTATAACAAAAATATGAAGACCATTAAGACTAAGCTCTTCCTTGACATGATTCAAAAGGTTACAGTAGAATAATAGATATAGCACCTATTGACCCATCGAAAAAATGCACGTATTAGTAAGTGACCTTTATTGCTAATTCATTCATTAATCAGACTACTCTGGTCTTAACCATTTCAAATGCTTAGCTTGACTTAAGCTCAACGTTATTTAAGTCTGTGATGAAAGGAAATTTTGAAATAATTGTAAATTAAGTACTTGTAAAAATGATCCTTGCAATACGGTTGTCCGCCCTTTAAGTAACATTTGGACGAGAGAAGTTGTTCGCAGTAAACACACCGTAAACAATGCGGGTGGAACGAGCGGTCGAGCACTTTCAGGACGAATCGATCACGAATGGGCTCTTCACATTTACTACATACATACACTGTCCCACTCCTATTGTTGATGTTCTGTGCAATAGCGGTACCTTAATAACTTTATTAATTAAACTCTTTGACATTTTGTCCACTTGTAACCTCCAAGATTAGTTTTCATTATTGCAATAACTGTTGCAATAACTATCATGTAACACACAGCAGCACTTGGCTGCAGCATGCAGCATACTTTGTAATTTACCACAGCAATTCCAGCATTCCACAACGTAACCAAATTAAGCGAAGTCATGAAAGGCAGTGCAAATCCTTAATAGCATTTTCATTTGTACTTCGAATTCAGAGAAGATTCACTAAGAGAATTATGGTGCTATTTCATAATTCTGTGTGTGCAGATAGCTTTGAAACCTTAGAACTGGATATCAAAATCTTTTTGTTGCGGAAGTAAATTGTATGTTACTTGTACAATATATCAATTTGCAAATTATTAATGCTTTCATATTGTATACGAAGACTGCGCAAAATACTTGTAATCCAATAATAAAATTTCTTTAAGGAAGAAAAGAATGAAGTACTTTCCGAATGTTAAAAGCCAAATTTTCTGTCTGTAAATGTTTCAAATTAAAAAAGAACTAAAAGATAATAAGGTGATGGAAATTTCCATTGAATAAAGCGCAAATTAAAACAAATTAAATTGTAGTTATTTTAGTGTGAATCAGAACAGAATAAACTTAAAAAGTCTGCGGGAAATTTTGGTTAAGGAATAATTTGGTTAAAGAAATGGATTTCCAATTCGATGACTGAGAAATATGGTAAATGAAGGAATGGAGATGATACACAATAGATGGAATGCGCCTGTCGCATTCCATCTATCGGGAATGGGATATGATATGAAATTGTGACAGAAATGCATTTGCTTATCGAAGAATGGCAGATGGAAATATCAGTCACATGCACGGAATATATATCAATTATTTATAATATTTCAATGCATATTATTTAATTTCTTCCACTGTGGTTACGTTTATTTGCCACAATTAAGTTTTTCTACAAATGAAAAGTTAAGTTTGATCAGAAAAGTGAAGAAGCGATCAAAACCGAAATTCTGTGATTTATAATTAACTGGAGAATTTCAACCCTTATGTCTTTTATCTTCCACAATTTTAAAACAAAAATATTAACTTCATTTTTCGAACTGAATCTGAGCTAGAATTTGATAAAAAGATAATACTTTGAAGTCAATCTTCGTTTTCAAATTTACGACTATAGAAAACTGTTAGAAAGTTAATTCGTTTATTTATAGTTTAAGACTTCTATACTCCACGTTGCTATCTACACTGATATTTAGGAGTTATTTTTTAAAACATAATTTTGGATTCAATAAAGGATGAAATTGTTCTTCTAAGGAATACAGTATTATCTTTTCATCTGCTCAGCGAGAACTTTTAAGCACCTAAATAAATTTTTAACTTAAAAAAACAAACCATTCCTCAAATATCCATTTAAAACGTTATTTCGTTAATATGGCCTCTAATAGTTCATTACGGCAGCATTAAAATTAAGATGAAGAGATGGACTATAAAAAGATTACGGTATAATTGATGAGCGTATAAGGTGAGGAGGACTAATCCCTACCGACTGCCTTTAACAACCCCATAAACATGACCAGTACGTCTGATTCAGGCTCTCCCAAGTCACATGGGAGTTTTGTTGTTTCCTCCCTTCGTCCAAATAAATAGAAATGCAAAATTTTTGTGGATATATTTATACGACCTAACATAAAAATTGAGTGTTCCATCCTCAAATTTCTGTTTCGTATTTGTCAGTCAACAGGAAATTAATCATTTTATTTAGTTTCCTTCTATAGGCTGCATTTTTAATTCATTAATGGCGATCTCCGTCGAAATGGCAAATAATTAATGAATTAATACCTTTGCTGTGATTATTAAATTCAAAATTTTTGAAATAAATCTTGTAGTTAGCACATTTATAATAAT